TTTGTTAAAAAGGGCATCGTGGCTTAGCACCTGCATCTTTTCCTTTAACGACAGGTTTTGCGTCAGTTAGTAGCTTTTGGAACTTGACATCCACTGCTGCTTTGCCAATTCCCCTCTTAACGAGTTCGTACGCCCCCTCCCCCTCCCCCCTACTGAAGCAGTTTTGGACCGTTCTCGCGCATGAACTCACCTCCAGTGTTTTCTGCAAGACTGTCCCTCGGCTCGAAGCTCCAGGTTACATGTAGAACAGGGGCCCTTTCTCGACGTGGTGGGGCTAGCCGTACTTTAGTGGAGTAGTGATGTTTTGTTGCTAGACTGTCTACTAACGCCTCCTTCTCCCTCCTTATGTCCCTTCTAGGTACGGACTGCCTGTTGACTTTGAATCAGTGTTGATTCAACCCAATAAGCGGAACTTGAAGAAGTTGCGAGACGTGCTGCAGCAGGCCTACGAGCATCTGGACAACCTCTGTGTCAGCAGCATCAAGGATGTAAGTTCATTTTCACAGGTGCCCCATGCTCACGTTTTTACAGCTCTTTTATAACTTGCAACAAGGCGGTACCTCATCACGTAACTTGAGCGCAGAGGACCTTCATAGTGCAACCTGTGGAGTTTCTAACGGCCAGTTAGGTGCTAACGTGCACACTGTTAATCTGGGCTCTCATATTGCGCCAACCTATGATTCCTCCTTTCTGCCAATTAAAAAAAAACTGTAGGAGGCTAATGGCTGATACCTTGCCCCACATGGATAAACAATTTGACCAAATCGTGCTTAATTATAGACAGAAGCTTGCCCCTAGTAACTGTACAATGTGCTTGTTAACTTTCCGGCCTGTTGCCTCGCGGACGTGTGTTCAATGTAGGGCATATTGACCAGAGTTTCTCATTACAGTAACTTTCTGCCAATGAGAAGAGCTTGAGCACTAAGGAGTCACATTTTGACTTTCTAGAGAGTCACCGATTTCGCGAACGTCATCACGGAATACCTAAATTTTCAGCTCTTCACGTCAAAGACTGTCGGTTAGCGTAGCTACCGAATTGTCAGCGCGCCTACGCAGTGCATAGTGGAACGGAATGCAGTGGAGGCCGTCGGGTCTGACAGCCTACGCAGTTATGGACCTTGCAGTGATTTGGCACATACTATTTGTGACTTATTAACCATCTTCAGCCAGCCTTTCCCAACCTCGTGTTGTGCAGACCCCAAGGCTCGACTCGTCTGTTGGAAGTCCAACGCGCTCGTTGTTCGGTCGGTTATATTTGTAGTGGTAGTGGAGCGTTCATCTCAAGGTTGGCATACCCCAGGGTTGGGTGTGACTGACTGACGACGGCTATTGAATCAGAAATGGCTATTCCAGTCTCACTTGTCTCTGTCGGTAATATTGTTCTGCCCATCATTCAACACGCGTATCAACAGCACGTCTTGCTAGGTAGGCTCCCGACAGGGAGCGCCATAAAGGCCACATTGAATCTGACTCTCAGCCCGCGGTAAGCCACTCCACACAACAAGACACACATTATACTGACTGCGGTGTCCAAGTTATCCCGCCAATTCGAAATCCTCCAAGCCACGACTTTTAGCGCACCGTGATAGCTTCAAGCGCATTAGATTTATCATATTGGGGAAGGAAACGCGCCGAGGTTTGACCTCACTCTCTTCCCCACCGCCTAGCTCTCGGCCGTCTGAGGTGGTATGCGTGTTGAATGTTGGTCGCGCCAGCCGTCTGCGCCCCTCCTCGTCTCCGGCCTTCTTGACTCTGTCTTAACAACTGGGTCCCGGTATGAGAGAGTGGGATAGATTCTCCACGTGTCTGTCTCGCTGTTTACCTTGTGGAAGTCACCGCGTTGCTTCAACTCGTTAAAGCTTGTTGTGGATATTGTCGAAATTGACAATCGAACCGGCCCATAATACTAAACGGCTGCCCGATCGGCTCGAGAATGAGTCCCAAGGCACAAGTGGACGGGTATATCCTGTGGCCCGATCGCTGAGTCTCCTACTACCAGCCATTCACTAGGGCTCAACCCGCCGTCGTATGATGATCCTACACATTGCGTGGAGGGACAGAGAGCTTCCCTCTTGACTGCAAAAACCGTCCCTACACCAAGCTGTCGTCCATAACCACCGTCTGGCTAGCCGCTGCTAGAACTGTTGCGCAGTTGGTAGTCCGCTCTCCCTCTCTCTCTGAACTTGATTGGTAAGCCCTGAGCGTACAAAGGTGCTATTTTGCGTCTCCTACCAATGCTCACCTGGTCCAGTGACTAGCCAGTGTATGTTACTTTCGAAGATTATGTTCTCTTCGAGCGGCGTTTCTGTCAATGCAAGTCGTTGCTTGTTACATCCACAGGCAGGCATAACCTTTCTCTCCTTTTCCTTCTCTCCTTAGGAGGAAATGTCAGGCCCGGGCTTCGCCCACGGAGAGTACTACCCCTACGTTTCAATAAACCTCGAGACAAACATGATCGACGCTCACTGAATCATTATCATCATCCTCTTCGGCCTTATTTTCTTCGGACTCTCCTCTTTCCGTGTTGTGTCTATTCTCTCGTGTTATTTCTAGCCTCTCCCTATGACAGAGACAGTCGGTCCCTCCAACAAAGCATAATATGTACACTATACCTGCTGTTGTCATTCACATCCCGCTAACCCGCCCCAACCCTGTCCCTCAACCTGATCATTCCATGTGATTGTGAAATCTTAATTATCTTCCTCTTCCACATGTTGTCTTCCTTGTCGTATTGTGCCTGGTTAGGGAATCTGCTGCCGTCTTATTGTTGACTAGTTTTTCTTCTGCACTCGTTTGCTCCTTACTAGCGGCAGTTTGGACGTCGCTAGCTACAACTTCCACTTGATGCTCAAATAAGTAGGCGCAGCACTGACCACTTACGCTGCATCCGCGACACTGATATGTCCCCAGAATTAATAGGTCGAAAGAGGCAAAGCCGGTTCTGATCGCAAGAGTCTTTATTCACAACAATACACAGACAGCTGAAGAATGAATCAGCGTGTCTACTACAGCCTACTATGCGGCGCTGGTCCTTATAGACTGTTCCTGGCCTATCGCACGAGA